CATGAGCTCAGTTATGTCTTGCTGGGGGCCTGTTATCTAAATTCTTTAGTATATAGGATTTAGCCCAATACTCTTAGGGAATTCAAACATGGAAGGGTGAAATTTGCTATAGTTTTCCTCTGTGTCTTCCTCTCTCTCTCAAAGGAAGATGCCATTGAATCATCATTCATTCATTCACAACATTTTCTGAGTGCCAAGTTTCTGCCTGAAAAAACTATAAGTTACATGGTTACAACAATGAACAGGCTGCCCTCATGAATTTATACTCAAAACAAAGGGGAAGAATTTTTTGTGTATATTTTTTAGATGTTATCTGTTCTATGAAAAAAAAATATTTAGAAGGTTTAGGAAAGTAAGGAATTAGAATATTTCAGTTTAGGGTTGTTATTTCCGATAAATAGTCGGAGGTCTCTGAACAGAGACCTACAAAGGAAATGAGAAAGCAAGTCATGGAAACACCGGGGGAAGAAGAGTTCCAGAGAGGTGACAAGAGCAAAACTCATGGTGGTCCCTGGCATGTTTGAGGAGCAACATGTAAGCACTTTCTAGTAAGTGAAGAGGTTGCACTGAGCCCCTTGGGGAGCCACTGGTCAGACCCCTGGGGAATGCCTAAACCTCTCTTTTTATTCTGAATGAGAAAGGAACACTTTGGGATTGTGAGCAGAGGAGTGACATAAATAATGGAAGTTTTGGGTGGGTCACTCTGGCTATAAAAAGGAGATTATCCCAGAGGTAGAAACTAGGTGTGATTTGGAGACAATGTCAATTCTTCAGGTGAGAGTGGAATGTGCCATTGACTTGGAATTAGATATTGAGGATAGATACAGATAGTGAGATTCAGAATATATTTTAAAGGCATAAACAAGAGTATCTGCTGAGGGATTGGTTGTAGGGATTTGGGGGGAAAAAGAGGATTCAAGAATAATTCCCAGCATTTTAAGCCTTGCAATTGAAGGGTAGAGTTATCACTTACTGGATGAGAAGCATGCTTAGGAAGATGGCCCAAGAGCTCAGTTTTGGAGATGTTAAATTGAGAGCTTTATTAAATACCCAAGCAAATGTATTATAAAAACGGCATCTTATTGGTAACTGGGAAAAACTATTTTGGAATGATTCACATAATGATAGTGTTAAAGCCAGGGGCTGAATGAAAAATGAGTAAGATTAACCTAAAGAACAGTAAGTTCCAACGACGAAGCCTCAGACATTCAAGGAAGTAGGAACAAAGAAAGAGAAAGTAATGAAAAATAGGAAGGTCAGGGGTAATCATGACAGAGAGGTGGCCCAGAAGCACCTACTGGCAGAAAGTTGCCTGGAAACTCAGAATGTAAAATTGTGATTTAAGGGCATGAACAGACTTGTTTCAAAATTATTCTCACTACATTTAGTTGCTAAGATGTAGGCATATAGCTGTGGAGAATTGAGTTTAACCAGCATCAGGCTGGTTAAATTATAGCACGGTAAAAGTGTAAATCAAAGAAAGTACTTCTAAGAATGGAACCATGAAGAAAGCACCCATGAGCTCCATACTTTGTAAGAAGAGAAGGCAGGTCAGCGAATTGGAGAATAAAAAATTATTAAACTACTAATACCTTCCTTTCAACATCTTAATATGATAATGCCCTCCAAACTGCATCATTAATAATCATTAATGGTTTCCATGCCTGTGTTGAAAGACAGATATTAAAAAGTGGTAAATTAACAGAACACTGAAAAATTATACAGCAATCTCATAATTATATTTGAAATGCTTATATAATATGTATATGTATGCTGTCATATTTCTGAAATAACTTGCAAAGGTTTTTTTCCTCATTCAATTCTCAAAGATGTTGTAGTCAGAGAAGATAACTTTATTGAAATCTCAGAAGCTTCCTGCAAATCTTAAACAAGTTTTACTGGCCCATTTTTTTTTTTCATATTATAAAACCCTTTGATGTTTATTAGACATCTTTACCCACATATGTTGGAAATGAGTATATAATACAATTTTAGCTGATAATTTTGTTACTTGTATAGTTATTTATCCTTTCTGATTCAAATAAATAGTTTTCAGAGAAGACCCATAAATAGTTATTGTCATACAAATGTATACTGTTCACTAAACTCAAAAAGTACCAGGCAATAGTGTCACATTTGGCGCATCCATGGAGACTCATGAAATGGGTCTTAAAGTATTCAACTGGACATTTTACAGGTATATTTTTCTTTGAAAAAGCTTTATAAAATGGAGCTAAGCCGTATTTCCAGCCTTTGGCAGGTCCAACAGGGTCCCTTAAATACCACAAGTGATCCACATTATGAGCATTCCCTGAACTTGTACTGTACATTTCCCAACTTCATGCCTTTGTACATTCCTCATTCAATTCGTTTTTTCTGAAAATGCTCCTTTCATCCTTTCTTTAAGGAAATAAAGTTTTTTTTTTTCTTCAACATAAAAATATAAACCATACCTGCCCTCAAGGAACATTCAGAGTACATGCCCTCAAGATACTTCCTAATTCCCTTCCAGTTAAAGAAATTTCTCCTTTCACATAGATTGTTTTGTGTAACTGTTCTGTTTTTCTAGCACATGTGTCTTACTTTCTACTTATCCAGTTATGTTTGTCTCAGAGGCTAAGCAAGTTTGATGACTACCAACTTCTATATATCTCCAGAAAGTTCCAAGAATGAATGTTTGCACATAAAAAAAAATGTATTTGAAAAAAGAGAGGGAATTGAACTGGGCACCCTAAGGACCAAGCTGAGGGTGAAGACCCTGTATAAGGACAGTCAGTAGGGTACCTCTTTCTAAGGAGGACCCTGGGAACAGGACTTTCATTGACCGCTACACAGAAGGTCCAGGCAGATCTGGAAATGTCCTTGAAGAGCTGCATCTCCTGAAAGCTCCAGGCCAGAAGAGCTCTCATTTTGAACTCAATGAAGGAAGACTCTAAAAGCACAGTCTCTAAGGGAGACAAAAATGCCAATAATTTGTAACCAAGAAGTTGGCAGATTGGGGTGAAACAGTCATCACTTTCCAAGAAAATTTGTTTCAGCAACTACATCTCTGCTTTATTTTTGTTTAATTTGATGGGCAGAAAGACATAGAGTGACAAACAGACAGAGCACTCATCTGCTGGTTTACTCCTTAAATGTTTACAAGGGATGGTGTTGGGATGAGCCAATGCCAGAAGCCAGGAACTCAATCCAGGTCTCTCTTTTGGGAGCATGGATCCAACTGCTTGAGCCAATTGCAGCTGCCTCCTAAAGTCTGAATTAGCAAGAAGCTGGAAGTGGGTATCAGATCCAGGCAGTCTCATGTTGAGTCATGCGTCCCAATGTGTGTCTTAACTGCTAGGCCAGATCTGCATCCACGCTTGTAACTATTATTATAGGTGATATTGTTATTAACTTGGAGTACTTTAGCAACTGAATTTATTAAGGTGTTTTGTTGCTCCATCTCCTACTTTGGAATTCTCCCACTGCCTTCTGTCCCCCTTCATAGCTTCCCTGTCCCTATCCCCACCTCCTTCTTGCACACACATGTATCCTGTTACAGCTAATCTCAGATACAAGAAGTCGCTTGGCTCTAGAATCTTCTCTTTCTTAAACAGTTGGGATTTCCTAGGTGCTGAACAGAGTATTTGTTCTCTTTAGCTCTTTCCAATGCTTTCTACTGCTTCTATCCAAATTTGGATCATTCCAGCAGGACTTTGGTCACAGCTGTCTAATAAATAAACACGCACTGCTCTGATGAGTATTAGCAGATTATTTAAAATTATTTTAAAGCTCATCATCTCTTTATATTCTTCCTTCTGTAAAACAGCTATTTGCTTCTCATCTAGTGATCAACATGCCTTGTTTCCAAAATTAAATGTACGCCAAAAGAGAAACACAGCAGCTAACATAGTTCCCATCCTAGAAGAGCTCAATGCAACAAAATATTCATTGAATGAATGCATATGTCAGTGAGTGACTGCCTTTGAGTTCCTTGTGCAATTAGACAAAGCTTGGTATTAATGAGAGGGGGATTTCCAGGCATAGTTTGTAGGATCATGGGTGAAGTTCTACATGATCATTTTTTCAGAAAATAAAACAAACTTCCTGCCTCATTAAATCTTACACTTTAATCTGAAAATTAGGGTTATCAACAATAACTCTGGCCTTGTTTGAGATGCAAGAAGGAAGAAATGCAGTCACCCCTCACTACTTCGTAAGATTTTCATCTTTTCTCCATCTCCTGTCTGGTTCCTTCCACCATCGCACCTAAGCTCAAGAGAAGTGTTAACATTTAAGAAAGATAAGGAAAACCAAATTTGGCAATGCAGTAGCTGCCTAGTTCTTTTATGGATTTTGTTTGAAATTTAAAAATAAATCTTAGACATACATTTTATACAAATATTTATCCTGTTTGCAGTGTCTTCACACACATATAAACATGCAGATTTGCCCTAAAGAAAGACCCAAGAATTCCATCTTCTCATGTTGGGCAGGGTCAATAATTACAATTCCATGACTTTTATGAAAACTTGGCTGAATTGCTCATTTGATATCGATGGAGGTGACCCAAAGGAGCCACGAGGATGCAGATCTCCATTTCAATGCTCACATACTACCCTCCTCCTTTCGAATACTGCAGATAGAAAAACAAAATGGCATAAACGATGCAAGCTCATAAAATTCTCCTTGTACGAATCTTAGAATTTTACGTCAATGGCACCTGAGACTTCCCAAAATTTAAAAGGTGTACACCTGCAAATGCTTCTGTTCATCTTGTCTGCCAAGAATTGCCAATTTTAAGTCATGTTATGAATGTCTGACCTTTCTAACCTGCTTGAAACAGATGCTATATCCATGCCGGTCATAACCACCTGTTCTCACCATATGCTATGTTGAATCACATGTGTGTAATGCCATTGCACCATCTTTTCTCCATTCCTCATTTTATCCGAGCATGTGGTGTGCTATTACTCTGCCACTGTATACACTCTGTATACATTTCTGTTCTTCCTTGCAAGACTGTGAATGCTTCGGCCACTCCAATCGATGCAGTTATATCGATCTGCTAAATACAGTCATTTGCGTGAGCTGTAAACACAACACTAGAGGGCAGCACTGTGAGTTATGCAGGCTGGGCTACTTCAGAAATGCTTCTGCACAGCTGGACGATGAGAATGTGTGCATAGGTCAGTTCCATTATACTTTCAGCTATAGTTCTGTGCCTTTCCAGCTATGGGGAGCTATTTAGTGTCGAGAGGCTGATGTTGACATCAGAGCTGAGCCCAAATGACCTTCCCTAATGGGGCAAATATCCTTCTGTTAAACTTGGAATTCACTGTACTGTTGAAATCATAGCTGGAGTGTATATTTTGAGCCCATATGTTGTTGTTGCTTTAAAAATGATAATCTGAGAAATCATGTTTAGGAGCTGAAGAATTTTCTTTCTTCCCTTTTTTATTTTGCATGAAAATTTAAAAACCTGGTAATTTCGACCTGATCATATAGCCATAAATTATAGATTCAACATTGAAAATGGAAACTCATTATACAGAATTTAATTATAGATATGAAATATGGGAGTACACACTCTTACACATAATTGGTGATCAACAAATGTTGATGGATTTTAAATGTTGCCATTTGGAATTGAAAGCTGCTGGTAATGTAGAAGTTTTCCTGCTTTTTCCATCCATAGTAAATGAAATTCCATTTATTGAATTTTCCTGTAGAACCCTATCCCCAAAACAGGAGCAATTTCTCAAAACCGTGTTTGTAGTTGTTTCTCATAGCTTCCCTGGTACATGAACCTTGGAAAGCTGGGACCACAGGGTCCCTCGAGCAGGGCCCTCCACCCCCTTGCCAGTGAGTTCCGCAGTGTGGCATGAAGAGGAACAAGTGCTTCTCTCCCTCAGAAAATCTTCTATCTTTTGTTTAGTGGAACGTGTCTTCAAGAAAGGGAAATCAGGGGGAAAAAAAATAAATGGAATTTCATTCATAATCTACTTGAAAGTAATGCATATGTTTGAAATGCTGATGGATGTATTAGTGGTTAACTATCCTGACCATAAAATTAAATATTATAAACTGAAAAGTGACAGATAACTTTCATCAAAAAGGAACCTATTCAACCTGTATTCATGGCATCATGGTTTTATGATTGTATTTCCGAGAGTTTATCAATTCTCACCAAGTTTCACATAAAATAACTCCACAGTTGTTTTGGATTAGATTGGGCCATGAGTGCATAACACTGTTTATGTCCATAGCATTTTCCATTTTTCAAGGTGCTTTTTGATTTATTATTTGTGAATTAAAGGCTAGAACCCTGATTTCAAACTCAGTTTGACAATTGGTAGCTGAGTACCTTAGGTAAGTCACCTAGCCACCTGCCCAAATCAGGGACATGTAGCATGCACATGAAATAATTAAGTATAAATCAACTTGCAATTCTAAAATGTAATCTTTCTGAACAAAAGCATGAGGTAAGTGTCACACCAATAATTTATCTTATTTTCTAGTTGAGAAAAATAAAACAAATTGTCCCAAATCATAAAATTTTAACAAAGGCACCCCTGACTTTGAAGTTTGAGCATTTGAGCACTGTAGCTCAGCCATTATGACACAAGTAGGCAGAGCCGAGCTTTCCAGACTGGCACTTATGTTACACATTGGGGATGCCAGCAACAATTCCACTTTGAGTTTTTGAACAGAAGTCCCATTGCCTTCATAACACTTGAGTTGCAAAGATTTACAGATATTAATAAAACCCAAGTGACATGGAACCATCTGAATTCTGAATGCAGAGCATGTCTCACTGAATGCCATTTGTAAAAATAAATAAATGTCATACCATCAATATGGAACCAACAGAAAAGGTAGAATACTTAGGCACATAGGAAAACACTGAATTGCTTATACATAACATTAAAATGTTTTACAATATTTATTACTACTTTAAAGAAATCAAAGAAAAAGATATCCACAGAAAGCACTTATACCATAAAAGGTCTCATAACAGGGAACATAACAGTATTCCAATATATCTACTCAGAGTGACCTTTTCCCAGTCCTGAAGTAGTCAATGAACTACAAAGTCTGTTTCTTCACATCCATTTTGAGAGCTGTTTTTTTTATTATTATTAATAGACCTGTGTTTGATTTTCCATGGACTGAAAGTTAGCTCATCCTGTTTTTATTTGCAAACCACATAAACTATAGACAAAATATGGAAGATTTTAATAGCTATGTTTACATTTCTGTACTTAAAAACCAAGCACAGTTGTTTTCTCCATTTCTATAAAATTTGATATTTGAAATTATAAAATTTGGGGGAATTTTATTCTATTGAGCAAACAAATCCCTAGTTAGTATTTGATACTGTTCAACCAAATAAAATTCTTTGGAACAAATATGAACATTTTTAGTTAGTATGCCCCTTATACACACACAAATACGCTAAAATCTCTTAAATTGCTCATCTTTTCCTAAAATGAAAAATCATTTTTTAAAAATGATCTGAATATTTTGACTGATAAGGGCTTCTGTTTTATCAGGGTTGTGTCTTTAGTCTTTACATACAATGCTCTGTGTTCTTACCATGAGTCAGCAATAGTTTCCCAAAAGCTATGAACTTCCTCTCCCCCACTGGGATTACCTGTGGACAAGGCTAAGGCTAAATCTGAGCACCATTGCCACGTTTTTGCTCTGTGAGACCTAGTCACCATTTTCTGTGTTTAAGCTCCCCAAAGGGCTTATGGCGGGGCTGACTATTATATTTAAGAGGTTTCACCACAAGTAATTGAGAGTTACTTTTAATATTATTTTGTATAGAAAGCACTAATGAGTGAATTGCTGTTACACAACTCAGTTTCACGGATTAAGCACTAATCCTGAAAACTTTGAAGTTCGTCTAAATCTTATGAAATTAAAACAAAAGAAAAGGCATTTCGCCAATTTTCTAATCATTGACAATCCGATTCACCATCCAAACTGTGAAGAAACAGTTCATATCTTTGACAAAAGGCAGTCTGTGTTCAAATAGATGTTTTAAAATATTCATATCATTTTCTATTGTAGCAAATACACAATGCAGCTGGCCAGTCTTTTCTGCCACAGTGATTACTACCTTGTGGTGACTGGTGAATTTATTTTCAGGCAAATTACAAGAGCAGACATTTCTCTAAAATGCATATAATTACTCTGTGATGACACGACAATTACGTGAAGATGGCATCCTTGCATGCTTCTGTTTTATGTAAACTTGATCATGAAGCAGGAAGCCGGAGGATGCTTGCTCTGCGACCTTGGGTAATCATGTTAATAATCCCTGCTAATAAGCTTGGCATTAGAATGAAACTCAGTTCTCAGACCTTGCCAAATGTATCTCAAGGTTTTGTTGTATTCTTTTTAATTATTCTCCTTGAAACCCAGTCTCAGGTTATCAGAGTTGTCTTCTGCAGAACAAAGCGAACACAAGGACTTTAATAACCATGACACAGTCAAGCCTCCCAAAATGTTTCATGTTGTTGAGTAATTTGACAATTCTGCATAATCGTCTTAGTTTCTTGGAATAAGGTATGATGTTTCAAGGCTGTTCCCATTAACCCAACATCTACCATTGTCCATAGTTCTGTACATGATGCTTTATTTTTTAAGATTTATTTTATTTTTATTGGAATGTCACATATACAAAGAGGAGGAGAGACAGAGAGGAAGATCTTCCGTCCAATGATTCACTCCCCAAGTGAGCGCAACGGCCGGTGCTGCGCACATTCGAAGCCAGGAGCCCAGATCCTATTCTGGGTCTCCCACGTGGGTGCAGGGTCCCAAGGCTCTGGGCCATCCTTGACTGCTTTCCCAGGCCACAAGCAGGGAGCTGGATGGGAAGCAGGGCCACCAGAATTAGAACCGGCACCCATATGGGATCCCAAGTGTGCGTTCAAAGCGAGGACTTTAACCACAGTGCTATTGCACCAGGCCCTGTAAATGATGTTTTTAAAAAAGTGAATTGTTTGTAGCTAAGGTAGAAGTTAGACAACATAATAATTTGTACGTAAGGAGGCTGTCAAAATGAAACTCCAGAAGTAAAAACACCCTCTATAGGAAGCAATTTTTTTTTACTATTGTCCTGCCAGAAGACACTACAATGAGAGATTAACATCTCAATTTTATCTATGGTGAAATTTGTTTGATTCCAAAATTTTTCTTTCACAGTCTTAATAAATCTCTTAAATTCTATACTAACGCACCTAGCAAATCCAGTATTTAAAAACTCATCACAAACAGTATATACTCAAAGAAGTTAAGGTGCTCTCCCAAATAATAAAACCAAATGGTCTTTGAATTAATAAAGTGCATTCATATTCGACTTTTAAAAGACAAATATTTTTAAATATGTAAAAAAAACCCTAACAGATAAGTCCATTTGAATAACTTAAAACAGATATTACAGTGATGACATATTGATTTGTGCTTAATATGGTCATTTCTCACAGTATTCGTTAAACCATCTGAAAATGCTGTAACAAATGAAACCCCCATTATGATCTGTTAGTAGTGACAAACATGATATCTTATTCTTTTGGAAGTTTTCAGTTGGTTTTCTCCCAAAAGATAAAATGGCATCGTGGGAGACAGGGCGCGTAAATAAATGGTCCAGAAATAGCCATATTTGCCAAAGCGTTTCATTATCGGACGCGTTTCTTCAAGTAAGTGAAGCATTTAAGTAAGTGATGCTCCTGTGTTGATGACCTCTAAGCCATGTGGACTTGTCTCCAGCCTGTGTGTTGTCTTGTTTCTACAGAGTGTTATTGTAACCCTTTGGGCTCAATCCATGACCGTTGTAATGGCTCAGGATTTTGTGAGTGTAAGACTGGAACAACAGGGCCTAAGTGTGATGAGTGTCTGCCAGGAAATTCCTGGCACTACGGCTGTCAACGTAAGTAAATCTGGGAGCTGCCCTTTGCCTGCTGCAGCATGGCTGATTCTGCTTGTCTGGGCCGGTACGTGCAGCTTTTCAGAGCAGAAAAAGACCCAAACCACTGACAAGCTTTAAAAGCTGCTTAATGCTCCGGCCAATGTGCAGGAGAGCAATCCATCAGCTGTCTACCTGGCTTCTTTGAAGCTCATCTTCATCTTTTCTGATGCCTGGAGCAACTTATATTGAAATATTATATGGAGATCCATGTACCTGGCCAGACCATAAATTAAATGGCACAATAGGGACCCGGCTAGAAAATCTTCACCGCGAAATGAAGGGTGATGCACATGTGGTTAATATATTTCTTGAGCTGAAAGCTACCCTGGAGCTTCAGAGTTCATAAATTAAATGATATCTACATAACTTATTAACACCTTGCTGTCATACTCATCACTGCATCTTAACTAGAAACCTAAAGGTAATAGATTTAAGAGATATTTAAATGCCAAGATAAAATAAATGACAAAAATCAATATTGATTTTAAGTCTCTGAGGTTAGGTAGCAAGCAGCAAGCCTTAGACGGATGTCATTTGGTTAAGCCTCATTTCTCTGGAGACTGTGAGGTCTTTATAAAAGCTTGTTGAGCCAGGTGGCATGTCTATATACAGGGAGCAGAAGCGGGAGAATCCGAGCAAAGGCTTTCTTCTGTCATTTTGCAGATTTTTCTCCTTTTTTAGTTGTATGTAAACCTCCTATTATAACTATATGCATAATGAGCCCAAGAATATTAAAGAATCACTAGACTTATCCCCTGAAACTTCAATTTCATAGAAAATAACACATACTATGTGCATAACATGAGATTTTTGTGGTCTACATTTAATAAGTGAAAATAAATAGGAGAAATTAATTTTGACAATTTGCTTAATGTCACACACATATTAAAAATACTATTATTTCAAAATGTAAGAAATATCAAAATTATTAAGGATGTATTTTCCATTTTTCTGCATTGTCTTTAGAATTATATGTGTGTTACATACCTACACAGTGTCTAAACTAGGATCACCCATGTTGCTGGGCTATGTAGCCATATGGGTCTACCATAATGAACAGCCTGACTCTAGAATTGTTTTTTTCTTACTTTCCATTTGTAGCAAAGTCAGCATACAAAAACTCTGCATAGTCAATATCTACACTATGGCCAATTTCCACAGAAAATTTAGAAAATGATAGAATGCTTGATCTACTGCTTGTAGAATTTATAATTACGTGGCAATAACAATTCTATGTAACTGAGATGCTAGAGAAAAATGCATCCATTCTCTTAACTGCAGATTGATTCCTTTCTAGTATTTGGGTAATGGATGAATGATAGAGGCTGCCAGTAACAGCAGACATGTAACCTAACAATTATGATAAAAGAACTAAGGAATTATGATCATTAGAACTAGTTCTAATTATAATAATTAGAACTAAGGAAGATGTATGTATTTGCTATTTACTAATGAAGCCAAGATGGGGCAGCATTTGAGTTAAATATTGGGACCTGAGTGGAAGCTTTCTGAAAAAGAATTTATTGGGCAAAACTGTATGAGATAACACAGTATGTTTCAGAAGTATTAAATAGCTTTCATGAGACTAGCTTTTTGTAAACAGCAGTGTTAACATTTCAACCATGACTTTGAGCTCTCAAGTTTTTCTCTGAAATTTGCTTTCTCTTCCTTAAGCTCCTCTTCGGGTAGATATTCTATTTCAAAATATAGAAATCATAAAGTCAGTTAGTAAAAAATGATTTCAGTAAGATTCCAAAGTACCTTGCTGAGATCTCTTAAAACTCTAGCAAATCCAGCAACTAACGGGAAAACACCTGTCATAGTAGAATACTTAAACACTTGCTTTAGTTTTATAGCACATGTCTGTTCTGATTATATGGTGCCATTGGTTGAAAACCATTTTTCATGTCACTCTTGTGTCTCCAAACATATTTTTTTCTTGAAATTGTCCCTCCAGCCAATCTCTCACTCTCAATACTATCCATTTCAACACACACTTCTGTTTCCCTTGAGTTGGACTCCTGTTTGTATTCAACACAATATCAATGATGGAGATACTAACCCGGCAACATGAACCACAGCCTAAAATCACTGCAGTGGTAAAGTAAGGTTGATAGTAGAATTGGCAGCCATATTTTGGGGTAACCAGATGTTTACATAGAACTTCCAGGAGGACCTGTAAAGATAGCAGGAAGATTCCAAGGGTTAATTATTTCTTGGCCTTTTGGCTAAGATCAAGTGTAGATTCTAAGGGATCCAGGCCCAGGATTCCAAATATTAAGAGCTAAGACAAGAGAAAGTGTGGAACAGGAATCCAAAAACGACTCAACTTAGAACAGAAAATAAAGATATTCAATCACTGACATTGTCACTTACATCCTGTGAGTACAGCAAATGAGTAGATTCTTTGAACTGGTTTGATAGTCATACCGGGCTAGATTTGAACATCGTTTAATCCTCTTTGCACTTTCTTGGGTTAGAGAGAATTACATGGACTCATTAAACATGATTCTGTATTCTACAAACATGGATAATAGGATCTAACACATATGGTAACTGTGAAATTCAAGGGGAAAAAGAGTATAGCACATATTAAGTCCTCGTTTGTTATTCCTTACTTAAAAGCACACATTTACTAAAACAGACCAAGGTTAGAATCATGTATGGAAACTTATTGTGCAATATTAGTGCATAACTTGAAGCAAGACTGGTACATACTGAAGTATCAAGTTGTTGATCTGGTCCTTCCATAAAGCCCCTTCGTTAGACACAGGGATGATTCAGGAAATTGAAGCAAAGCTGACCCAAAAGCTAGTGTGTGGGCGCAACTGTGGAAACTCAAGACTCTAGGTTCATCCATGACTTTCTAACTGAAGAGGCCACCAATTATGTGCTCCATAAATCTAAGCTATATTTTGATTCAAATGGTGAAATACTTGAAAAACACCGGAATAAATGGTTCTTAGGAGAAAGGTGGGTATAATGCAGGAAGAAAACATTAATAAGATTTCAAAGAGACCCAACAAAACAAAAAGCAGTATTGATGTTACTCAGTAGAAGAATGAAATAGTTAGAGGAAAAAGGAAATTTAATTTTAAAATACCACCTTTTTGAATGGGAGAAGAGTCAATAGCTCGGAGGGAAAAAAAGTTACATTTTCCAAAGGAAGCAGCTTTCCATTTTTCATAAAATATGAAGGTTTAACCCTTGCTGCTAACACCAGCAAAGACTGGACCCAGGTAGGTCTGTGAACCACCAGTATTGTAAATGGAAATAACCATATAGAATGAATGAGGCTGGTGAGTAGCTGTTGTCTGTTTGGATGATGTGTTTGGATACATCACAGAATACCTTACATTGTTTATTTTTAAAAAACCATAATTGTTCTCATTATTTTCCTTGATACAATTTTGTAGTTATAGGGATTCCCTCCTTTTCCCTCTGCTTTCTCATCTCCATTTTCCCTTCCCACCATTTTATTATTATTACAGTAGTATAGTTCTTCAGTAACAATAGTTCTAGTTTGATTTTTCGCACGTTGAGTACATCATGGCATTGTAGGCAAAAACAGAAGTAGAATCCTTATGCTCAGTGAAATAAGCCAATTCAAAAACGACAAAATATATGTTCTCTCTGATATAAGGTAACCTTAATGAAAAATACAAGATCAATAAATATATAGGTGAACACATACATACTAGATGAACTATGTAATGGAGATTAGCATACTGGGAAGTGAAAATACATTAAAATATACATCTCTACTTCCAAATAAAAAGAATACTCCCAATGAAACAGGTAAGTATACCTTATGCTAGATTTTCAGATCTTTGCATTATTGATGTAAGGCAATGAATGCTACTCATCTTTACCTGGTTTATGTGACTATTAACAGTACTTTAGAAAGACTCATAGCATTGAACTTTGAACTCAGGTCAAAAGGTTTGGGAATGTGAATTAAATGGCACAATACTGGATAATAACAGAGCTATAGAAAGTGGGAAATAGTACACACTACAAAGGGGAGACAGTCAGTGGCCAGACTGCAATGTCAGGATACGGGTTCTCACAGCACAGCAGGACCTAGATCAGCCAAGAAAGGAAATAGGATATTTAGAAGATAGTTCAATGGCCTAATTAATATAATTGTTTACTATTTAAACTTTTTATTTTAAGGATAATAGACTTTGTGTATTCCACAGGCACAGTTACAAGAAGATAGGCTTAATTCACTATACATCGTAATATTCAAAAAGTACAAAATAGGAAGCTCATGTTTCCACTGGAGTATAAAACAGATTAAAATGGCAACTAAAACAAACAACATTTTAAATTAAATTAGTGAAATATAGGAGAAATATCCTGATAAAACCACCAAATTACATACTGTGGTGGGGCAGGGGCAGCTTGATGGCTCAATTGGCTAAGCCCCCACATCCAAATCACAGCATTCCATATGGGGGACATTCATATCCCAGCTGCACACTTCCCATCCTGTTCCATTCTTTTTTTTTAAGATTTATTTTTATTATTTTTTATTGGAAAGGCGGATATACAGAGAGGAGCGACAGAGAGGAAGATCTTCCGTCTGATGATTCACTCCCCAAGTGAATGCAACGGCCAATGCTATGCCGATCCGAAGCCAGGAGCCTCTTCCAGGTCTCCCATGCGGGTGCAGGGTCCCAAAGCTTTGGGCCGTCCTCGACTGCTTTCCCGGGCCACAGGCAGGGAGCTGGAAGGGAAGCGGGGCTGCTGGGATTAGAACCGGCACCCATATGGGATCCCGGGCGTGTAAGGTGAGGACCTTAACCACTTGCGCCACCGTGCCGGGACCCAATCCTGTTCCATTCTTAACGCCTGGGAAAGCAGCAGAGGATAGCCCCAAGCCTTGGGCCCTGTACCTGTGTGGAGACCCAGAAGAAGCTCCTGGCCCCTGGCATCAGATTGGCTCAGCTCCAGCT